CGACGAAACGAGAGATATAAAAGAATAGCACACGAAGAGCTCATTTTTTATTTAAAATGCTCAGAAAAGGTAAAGTAAAAGTCGTTTTTAGGAGAAAGTAACTAACGCCAACACAGCTCGATTATTAAGTAAATGAAATTCGTTAGGTTCCCGCGTTATTTACCTACTATAAAGTGTAAAGAGTGTCCGTATTTATAACGTACACGCAGACTTAGAAGAGAAGCAGCTTTTCTTCCTACAAGAAAACAAAGTAATAACAAGTTACTACATATTTAAAAATGCGAATGTTTAAAAGAAAAAATGATTTAATGCATTCGAACCGAATTCGATCTTCTACTTTACGTGATAAATAGAAATGACGAATATAACTTTAAAAAAAAAAAAAAAAAAAGAAGTAAAGTAAAGAAAAAAGATGCTACGCAAATATAAATGACACAGAAAGCGTTTTAACAGTTAGTTTAAAAGTTTAATATGAGATTTCTATGCAACAGAGAAATTTAAATAATAAAGCCGAGGGAATATCTCGATCTTCCAGAGCTGTTCCAATCTCAAGATAAAAATAATAAAGGAAGTAAATAAATCGACGGACGACTAGTCGGGAAGTAGATTTTTTCTTGCGCGATGGTCGATGCAAACAGGCGTAATTTGTAATTAAAAAGTTTATTAATCATGCAAAAAGCGAAAGATAGGCGTTTAAAAAGAATAATGGACGAGAAGTAGCTGCTCGAGGAAGAACATAGGGAAGAAGGAAGTAATCGGTCGCGTAGTCTCATATGGCTGTGCATTCACTGGAGCGAAGCTCTCAGTATCTTATTTTTGTATTGCAAGTAATCGATTGTTAGTCCAACGAACGATGACGTTTAAAAAAGTATGGTTTAAAAAATGAGAATGAAAGAGAGAGTGAGAGAGGGAGAAAAAGAGATATAACAGATTCTAAATAATGGACAAAGCGTTTGAATTTTTTTTTTTTTTTTTTTTTTTTTTTTTTTTTTTTTTTTTTTTTATCAAATAGAAGAAACAATACCGTTAAAGTGTAAAAACGCTGTAGTCTCGTTTAAGCCACGGAGGAGCGTGAATGGTTTTCCCATTGCTAGTCGCAGTAGCAGCGATCGATAATTAATAATTACAAAAGTATTGAATAATTGGTCGTTGTTTAAAGAAATGAAATGAAACACTATTTTATTATAAAAAGTATTGATTATTTATTGATCACCAATGTTCAAAAATAAAAACAAAACAAGAAAGAACTAAAAAAAAAATAAAAAAAGTACTTAACAATGTTTGAACGAATTAATAATAAAATTTTTTATTACACCCAAAACAATAATTTAATAAATGAGAATATGAAAATCGAATAGTATAATTACGGTAATCACACAAACTTATAAAATAGATGACGTACTCGCTACTTTTGCGACGAGTAATATCACGAAAGCGTTCAAAGGTTAACATATTTGCGTAATGTCCATGTCCACGACACGAAATAAAAAAAAAAACACCAGGGAATTAGGGCATTTCGAGATTTTGGCTTTCATTAAATATGTGCATCTGTGATGCAAAAGGATATGCAATCTCTAAGGGAAACGAACTGCAAAGTGTACCTGTGTTTCTTTAATATTCGTGTGTAGATAATGTTTTCCCTGCTTGTTTATTATTATTATTATTACTTTTTTTAAATATATATTATTACTTCGTCCCGTGTATCTTTCGTACTTTCTTATATCTGGTCCGAAAGTCCTTTATTGATTAATTGCGTAAAGTAAATAACGAACTCAACGATATATCGATATGTAAGCAAATCATAAATCGTGCAAATGCGTCTCAATTCTTCCTTTCATCCTTACATACATGTTGTTATACGCCTCCTTGTTTAAACGACTTTTACGTCAAGTAATTTTTTATTTTTAAAAAGCTGCGGAGTACTCTATTCGTGCTTAGTCTTTGCGTTGTGTCGCGCACATGCAAGTCACATTTAACGAGATGAATGAGAACTTAAGCGAGCGATTAAAAGTTAAATAAAAACGAAAATTTTGAGTTTGCCATTAAAAGATGTTAGGTAAATTACAATACGAAGTGACGACGATCTGTAGCTGCTCTTTTCAGTGCTTTTTCGTGAGCCTCCAGTTTTTCTCGTTCAATTTTTTGTTTGTTTGTTTTTTTTTATTTATTTTTTTTTTTTTAATTTTGTAGAGATAAATTTGTATGTGTATGTGTGTGTGTATATATACATATATATACATACATATGCGTATACATACGTGTGTATGCGTACAAATGCAATATAAGTAATATTAATGTAATACGATGATGCGTGACTTATTGCCTTTAACGTTAATTTTGTCTGACCTTGAGGATATAATTTTTCTCCTATTTTGCGAAACTGGAAACGCACAGATCACGAGTAAATGCGTTCGCGCAGAGAGTCGATTGACGATGCTTTCAAATATGCATACAAATAATAATATTTTTTTTTTCTCTCGAACGCTCGACATAGCAGAATAATGGGATTAGCGAGGAAAACAATGAAACGAACTGGAGGCTTTCGCACATTTGCGTGCACCCCTTATCGAAAATCACGAATTTTTCCGGCAACTCCGTGCGCGGCCTTTCTTTTTAACAGAGAAAAGATGAGCGTGCGCGCGTGCGTGTGCAAATTTTTTCATCTTTGGCAACGTTAATGTTTCCTTGGGATTGCGAATATAGGGAATAATTGTCAATTGTTCCATGTTGTGTGTTGGCATCGTGAGTTCCTAGTAGGGGGGAAACCAGTTAAAGAGCAAATGAAACTTAATAGGAGGCATCGGCCACACCATTTTAAACCTTCGTTAACGCAGCATAAGCAAGTTCCCTCAATGGCGTTTATTATATTACTACAATAACAAAGAATTCCGATCTAAGGATATCCCCATTATTTCTCATTGAAGATTTATCTCTGTGTGTTATCAAAATTTTTCTCCTAGCACTGATCTCAAAGTTAACAGCTTATCGAGATTAATGCCAGAGAAGTGCCTGCTCTTGGGTTCACAGAATCGATAACAGAAATAAATAAAATGAAAATAAATTTTTAACTCCAATTTAAGATGAAGAAGAAGAAGAAGAAGAAGAAAAAAAAAGGCCAATAGCGCAATAGTGTCGCCGTGTGAAATATCGCGATGGGCGGGTGACCGCGTAGTTCTGTGATATGTATGATGTAGCGTTATTAAAAAGTTTAAAGAAAAATAAACAAACGAAGAAGAAATCAGTAGCCCACTATTTCTATCGTGCATCGCGTTCGTTATAAGCGTAAGGTCAGAATATCGCGTCTCGTCGGTTTCATCGAAGAAAAAAATAAATACAAAAATAGAAGCTGTGAATGGTGTTTCTCGGCAGCACACAATAAATAAAACGAAATATGTGAATTTACAAATAGAAGGAAGCTACGGAACACATAACGTTCATATCATGTGTTACACACTTGTCTCTCGAAGAGAGATATATATATATATATATATATATATATATATATATATATATCGTAAGCTATAATATGCTTTGACTGTGTGCGCGGCGAAGGATAAACAAAAATGAAAAAATGTAACAAAATGTAAAAGGCCAATCGAATTCGCTCTATGAAATACACGATTAAATTGATCCGAAGAAATGGATTATGATAAAATTAATAGATGGAAGAGAAATCTTTCGCGCCCATCTCGTTCCTCTCTCTTTAATCGAGGCATAATTTAGTAACAATTTATATGTGTATCGTTAGAACAACCGATATATTTTTCGACGAGTGTGCACAAACGTTAAAAAAAAAAGAAAAAAGTAATTGTGATAAAACACACCGGAGCGAAAAATATCCGAGACGAGGCTGCATAGTGGCGAAAGGTCCTCCGCTGTGTATCTCTGTAAAATCTTCTATCTCGTGTATATTATAAGTATTCGCGCGTCAAGAGCCCAGCGATTGTATAATGTTCACGTGGTTCGTTAGTTTTTCTTATATATATATATATATATATATATATATATATATATATTTTTTTTAAACTCGCAGTGGGACGATTACTCTTGTCCCTTTTCTCGACTAGAATCAACCCTTACGTTGTCGGTGTATTTGCTCGTTTCGTTTTGCGTTTTGCTTTCCTTTTTTAAATAATAATATATTCATAGAATTGAGGGAATGTGGAA